GGGAGTAGTTTTCCAGCTAGGGGCCTCAAAAGCACCCGGGCCGGATGGTCTTAATGGGCTATTTTATCAACACCATTGGGAAATTTTGAAGTGCGATATTTTCAAAGCAGTGAGAGATTTTTTTGTATCCGGGGTGATGCAACCAGACTTTAACAAAACCGTGATTTCCCTCATACCCAAAATACCTAACCCAGAAAGACTAGAACAGTTTCGCCCTATTAGCCTGTGCAACTTTGTATACAAAATTATCGCTAAGGTGATAGCTAACCGATTGAAGACTTGGTTACCCGAACTAATTGCAATGGAGCAAAGTGCATTCGTGAGTGGGAGACAAATTCAAGACAACATCCTAGTTGTGCAAGAGGTACTCCATCAACTTAGAGTCAGAAGGCGAAAGAAGAAATTTCAGGCCATATTGAAGTTGGATATGCAAAAAGCCTATGATCGAATAGAGTGGGATTTTTTGGAGGCCTGCCTAATCAAAATGGGATTCCACCATAAGTGGGTACAATGGGTGATGCAATGCGTATCTACTGTTTCCTTTAGTGTGAAATTTAACGGACAACCTTCTCGGTACTTTCAACCGTCAAGGGGTATTAGACAAGGAGACCCGCTATCCCCTTATCTCTTCATCTTGGTGGCAAATGTTCTATCTACGCTTATCAAGAAAGCCGTGGAGATTGGCAACATCAAAGGCATCAAACTAAACAGGTGGTGTCCCACTCTTTCCCACTTATTCTATGCAGATGATTCTATCTTCTTTTTAGACGGGAAGTTACAGGAATGCCAGAATCTGGCTAACGTTCTAAACCAGTATTGTCTAGCTTCAGGACAAACGATTAATCTCAACAAGTCTGGAATATTTTTCAGTAGAGATTGCCCTCGAAGCCTAAAAGTAAATCTAGCTAGAGAGCTGAGAGTTCCTGTGATTGATAAAACAGGTAAATATTTAGGAATTCCATCGGATTGGGGATGTTCTAAAAAAGAAATGTTCGCATGGATCTTGGGGAGAGTGAATACTAAACTGGAAGGATGGAAGGAGAATTTAATGTCCAAAGCAGGAAAAGAAATTCTTATTAAAACTGTGGTTCAGGCTCTTCCACAGCATGCAATGTCTATTTTTAAAGTCCCAGTGTCCATTTGTAAGACAATTGAGCAGAGAATTGCTGCCTTTTGGTGGAAGAACACTGTAGCTAAACCAGGCATGCATTGGAAAAGATGGGAAATTCTCAAAATTAGGAAAGACATGGGAGGGTTAGGCTTCAGAGACTTAATTGTCTTAAACAAAGCAATGCTGGGTAAACAGGCCAGGAGACTCTCTCAAAACTCGTCATCTCTTTGGAGCCAGATACTAAAAGGAATCTACTTTCCACATAGAGACTTTTGGCATGCGGAAAAAGGCACACGTTCTTCGTGGGGGTGGCAAAGCTTACTAATGGGAAGAGACTCAATTGCTCATCAGGTGCAGTGGTCAGTGGGGGATGGAAAGAAAATAAGAGTTAGAGAAGACAAATGGTTGAGAAGGGGAGTAATTGGAGGACCTGCACCCAGAGGTGAACCTTCCTTGGTGGCTGATTTCATTAATTCAGAGGAGAATACATGGAATACCCAGCGTCTTAAGGATAGCTTTGATGCTCAAACAGTCAATGAAATTCTATCGATCCCAGTTAGACCTCAAATAACAATTGACCAGCTGATATGGACAGGGACTCAATCAGGCGAGTATTCAGTAAAGAATGGATACAACAGCATAAAAGCAGCCGAGCACAACAAAAGCCATGATTCAGCATCATCTTCCTATCAAGTGCCCCGTAGCCTTTGGAGAAGGATTTGGAATTTGAAAATTACTCCTAAAGTAAGAATTTTTATGTGGTCTCTATGCCAAAATGCTTTACCCACAAAGGAAAAATCTCTATCGAAGAAAAATCGTACCAGATCCGTTTTGCACATTGTGCAATGAAGAAGTCCCAGAGACAATCGAACACCTTTTCCTGTTATGCCCATGGACAAACAGAGTTTGGTCACACCCACAACTTGGCATACATATTCCATCACAAGGTTTATCAAGAATCGAAGCTTGGTTAGCAGATCGGACAGCAAATCGGGACAACTCACCTGATCTGAAAGTCATAGCCTCGGTCCTTTGGCAGATATGGAAGGCACGGAACCATTTCGTATTCAGAAAACAACGCCCAGATCCGGCTTTTACTGTAGAAACCGCTCTCGCAAGTTCGAGAATCGTTAGCACTTGGGGCCTGCACAACGCGAAAACCCTCCAAAACCCAACCAGCTCATCCCAGATTTGGTGTCCACCGACGCTCGGGAATCTTAAAATAAATATTGATGGAGCCTACACACCGGGAAGGGAAGAAGGAGTAGTAGCTTGCGTGTGTCGTGATCACCAGGGAAGGCTTGTTGATGGATTCTCTTCTTTTGTCCGTGCAGCTTCCTCCCTACAAGTGGAAACACATGCTTTGTTACAAACCCTAAAATTTCTGATCCAGCGTGAGAGAGAAAAGGAGAATCTAGTGTTGGAGTCGATAATCTTACTTTGGTCAATGCCTTGCACGTCCCCCGTCGACACCTTGGGAGGTCGAGCTCTCTTGTCCGAATGTGTTGCTTTGTTAGAGTGTTTTCCTCATATTCGGATCCAACACTGTAGAAGGGAGGCAAATTTTATTGCGGACTGAGCCGCTAAAGCCCACGGACGCAATTCCCTACCTTCAAATTGGGTTGTTTCGCCTCCTCAAACTCTTTTAGATCTTTTGTGTACTGAAGCCCATTTAATGGGTCTTTCTGGTTCTCCTACTTAAATGAAATGCAGCTTTATTTCGACCAAAAAAAATAAAATTAAGGGTTAAGTTTCTCAATTCGACCAAAACGTTAATTCTTCAATCTATTCATGAATGGCCTAAAAAATGCGATTTAAATGCATAGAACTTATTCTATTTGTGCGAGTGGAATGTAGTTGATGTAGAATTGTATAAACTAACTATTTTTGGTTCAAGGAACGTACTCTGTCACGATGAGAGATCTCCAATCCCTAAATGATTTTATTTTTAAATGCATTGTTTGACTTGTTGGCGAAATTTAAGTGTCAACACCTCCCACGTACAAACCGGATTAGGAACAAAAGAATTGATGAATAGGCGGCGGCATACTCAAAACAAAAGTGGGGCAGAACCTGACTTCTATATTATACAAGCAAATCCAACTCAAATATGAACTCAAAAGTTTAAACCGGCGAAAGGATAATAACGTAACAAGTGCAAAGCCTAATAAAATCTGACTGAAATAAGGTGCATCTATACTGTCTTATTAAGAAATCGTACGCTAGAGCTCGTAAATGCTCGTGGGACTTTTCTTCTTTTCTGCAAGAGATTGTTAGGAACCTTCCTCGGTTACTCTTTTGATGAAAAATCTTGGGTGTTTTCCTGTTAAATAAGTCATATGATATTTTTGGCATGCTGTTTATCCATTTTGATCTTACTTTAGTTGACATGTCGACGTGATTAAGGAAAATGCTCTGTCTATAAATTAACCTATGTACTGCGGCCGCCCTAGTTTAATTAGGCTTTTGACGTTATGGAAGGGATAACTATCTAACATAGAGAAGAAATGAAGCTAGTCAATCCACTTGCTTTGCTTGATCAAATCAAACATCATTCAAATACACATAAGGGAAATATGCACACATAGAAAAACGTACCAAAAGACATGTTCATTTCACTATCGATCCGGGTAAAGGATAGAGTATTTATTTGTTATATAGAATTATGAAATTTTGGTGGGACCATTGCTAATTGTACTATTAAGTTAAAGTTGTTAGATGAATACGTACATTGATATTTGAATACTCTAACGCTCCCTCTCACGTGTATGTTGGACTTTGGCTTAAGACGAAAATGTAAAAAAACACAATAGGAGAGGCAAAAAGAAGTCTCGAAATATTTGAACACGGGATTTGCTACTTGTATATCATGTGAAATTTTAATGAGACCACCGCTATTTGACTCCACTCCTATATATTTCCATGCTCTGGTCATAAGGCAAAGTACAGCCTACACTTTAGGGAAAGTATTAGACTATTTGAATTTTAAACTGGAATAGCTTTACTTTTTAGAATAATTGGTTGTGATTACGCAAACTTTCACACAAACTTGCACAATAGTTAATTGCTTGAAAATTTTAGGGCTGAGATTCATGTTGTTGGCTTTATCCGCTGATGTACGTTGTTTATAACCCAATGCAATTTTAGAATTAGTCAATTTTCGTGTTAGATGTTTGATCCTCAATGTCTGTGAGTACATAATTATGTGGCAAAAAAAAATTGTGAACAAGTTTTAATCGGAAAATGTTAGATGTACATAGCAGAACTAAAAAAAAAATGTTAGATGTACATAGATATCTTACTAAAATTTACTTATTAATTGATGTTGCAAGTTTTCGACCAGAAAAAACGAATGATATTTCAAGTTACGATTGGGTATTGAAGTAACTGAAAATCATGCATGAATCATTGGCTTCTTGAAATACCCAATATAAAAATACCATATCATTTAGTAAACAAAATTAATAAGATTTTTTTGATACATTTAGCTTTGCTCGTGTTAATAATGGATTCTATGACCGCAGTACCAAGCTTGGATTAATGCGCTTTGATATTACAAAAAAAGTATTGATTTCGTATTTAATTTTTCTCATGGTGTTTGAACTTGTTATTTACTCATTTTGAATATTTTATGAATTGACAAAAATGCCGTTACGACAATTTTTTTTTAATAATATGCCACAATGCACATCAAATACTGTACTTCTCATTTCGACAAGGTTTTCCAAAGTGAAATGTCGATAGATGGAACAAGAAAAATCAAAGCAAATGGATAATAACATGAATAATAATTCATATATTATAATCGATGCACATTACTTTTGTATACTGTTTGAATCACACAAGTACAATAATACGCAAACCATTAAACCAGTAAGAACAATAAAGAATCGCCATCATTGTTGCATCGCGCATCTCATAATCAAGGGCTTGGCGCAATGAACTGCAGCAACTCATCGTTGCGCTCGAACTCGATCATGTCGTGCTCGGCCAAGGTGATCCATGCTTCAATCCCATCCCCACACCTAGTTCCCATCAAAATCACCACATTTTTCATGGGAACACTGGTGGTGCACACCCAAGCGGGCCTTCCCCAGCCAAAATCCACCTCGTAGAACGGGAACCTCGCCCAGCTGCTGAACCTGTAGAGCTCAATCTCTCCCGCAGACGCAGCCACCAGCTTCCGTGCCGCCATAAGGCTCTCGCAGGCCTTGGCCAATCCATTCTCGCCTTGAAGCACGCTCAAATATTCGCTATCAATTGCCCTTATTGATTTCCTGAGAATGCCTGCAAAGTCCTGCAATTCAACTTTCTCGATTGGTTCCACGAGTGGTGCCACAATGGACTGCCACAGATTGCCCAAGGCATTCTCAGGCAATGGTTGGGGCCTTATCCTGCTTCTTATGTTCACCACATGTGTCACTGCTGATGATGGGGGACACGTCTTGTTCCAGTCCGGCCTCTTCCTTGCTGCCTCCACGGCCGATTTCCATATGAGGGCAGTCACGGCCTCGACACGAGTAGGAGTAGCACTGACAAACCTGGCCCTGAGACGGACCAAGCTCTCGCCGTCGAAACGAAACCTCTTGGTTAAAAGCTTCTCTCTGCTGATGACCCCAGATGGCATTTGGAAGTTTATGTCCTTTGGTTGGAACAGCTCAGATGCTTTCAAGAAGGGGGTTTTGAGGTTGGCTTTGCCATCGACGCCATTGACAGCAATTTCAGACCATGAATTGAGGAAAGCGGAGACCGATGCGCCGTCAGCGATCTTGTGAGAGATACAGATGCCGATCCCAATACTGCCACAGTCAAAGAAAGCAGCTTGGACCCCTACAATGACTTGCTCCTCAATGTTGGGACTGTTAGTGTATGGAGAGAATGGAAGGAATTGCTGCAGCTGATTGATGTCGGGGTTTGACAGGACTTCAGACAACTCGAAGTGAGCTTTCGCCTCCAAATAGAGCGCGCCGTCGTCATTGCAATCGATGGCAGCATTGCCTTTCACCCTTCCACCTAGAGGGTAGAAGAGGGAAAGTGCCTGCGAGAGCGAAGCTTTCAAGTTTCCTGTCACTGAGGCAGAGTTCGGCACTGCCTTGTCATCGGGAGCCGAGTAGAACAGGACGGCTGGAACGTAAAATGGTGGAGCCAGCTGGTCAAGGAGGCAGAACTTGAACTCCCTGTGGTGAGATGGAGTTGGAGAGGAAGGCTTGATGCTCTCTGTGGAGACAACCTCAACTTTCATGGCCATGTTTTGTTGGAAATTGAGAGATTTGAAAGTTTGTCCTTTTGAGTTTCTTTCTGGAGAGAGATGAGCTTCCTTGGTGCTTTTCAATCGCAAGATCTCGTAGTTTATATAGATTAAAGGGAGGATAAATGTGCAATTTTTGGGTCAAAGGCTCATAGCATCGGGCTAAACAAGAAGTGTATGCTGATCTCTAGCAGTAGCTCACGTTTCGAAGGATAAAGCAGCTATTATGTGTAACGACCCGAGGCCCCATCCTAGCACGATATTGTCCACTTTGGGCCGGAGTCATCATGGATTTAAAACGCGTCGTACTAGGTTAAGGCTCCTCAAGCCTTTATAAGCAAGCCTAAGGCTTCCTCCCTAGGCGATGTAGGACAGGAGAGGTACCCCACTTCCCTGCACACGTTCGGGGTAGTGGCGTGGACACACCGCCATCCCTCCTCCCCGCCCTCTGCCGCTTGGCTTGGGCTGTCACACTCTTCCCCCCTTACGGGCACAGCACCCTCGCTGTGGCCCCACATGCGGTCGGGAGTTGGCTCTGATACCACTTGTAACGACCCAAGGCCCCACCTTAGCACGATATTGTCTGCTTTGGACCGGAGTCCTCACGGATTTAAAATGCGTCGTACTAAGTTAAGGCTCCTCAAGCCTTTATAGGCAAGCCTAAGGCTTCCTCCCTAGGCGATGTGGGATAGGAGAGGTACCCCACTTACATGCGCACGTCCGGAGTAGTGGCGTGGACGCGCCGCCATCCCTCCTCCCCGTGCTCCGCCGCTTGGCTTGGGCCGTCACATTATGTATTACCACCAATGTGAAGAATCTATCAAGTTTTTCCATTTGATATGGTGACTTTGAATATAATATATTTATAGACTTATTCCCCAACTAAAATGATGGACAAAGTTCACCTCATAATGCTTTGAACACATCGGATCATATTCTTTCTATTGGATCGAAGCACTATATATATATATTCTCTTTTTTTAATTAAGATGATACGATAATTGTGGTAAGCTTTTAATACCAGAGTAAGTCTACATACACAGGAATATTCAAAGACAAGTCCTCCATGCCGAGATTAGTGAATTTACAAAGAATTATTGGTTAGTAGCCCGATAATCAGTAATCGCGCTGAATAGGAATTGAACATGAACCCTCATGCTATTCGAGATATCTCGTAGAGAATTGAATTTGGGTATTGGGATCTCTCAACTATTTAATATGTCTCAAGCATTTGGAACATTTCGTCATTCCAACTGAAAGGCACAATGGGTGGACCGCCCAAGATGGGCCAAACCCGGCCCATGAACCACAAAGGCCCACAAGGTGGTTAATTGCCTCTTACTATAAATAGTATACTCCCATTGAAAAAACTAACGTGATTTTTCATATGTATAAAACCATACCCCTTCGAAAGTAACATCTTCTCTGTTTTCCTTTCGAAACATAGTGGGTACGAAAGACAATCGAAGAACACTCTCAAGTGCAAAGTAGCATTTAATCTGTGATAATTCCAGGTAATTTTTGTTATGTGATATGCTTGTACGATTGGAGATACAAGTTGATGGTTATTGAGCACGTTTTTCGTATTGATCGAATTCGTTTCAAACATGTTTCGAATATGTCGGTCGGGAATGAGTTTTCCCAACACTGGTATCAGAGCTCACTTCCTTGTTTCCCGATCATGCATGTGTACGGTCTCTGACATTGAAGTGTATACTGCCTGTTGTTTTGTTTCGGTCTTGTTTTTGGCCCGTTTTCTTTGTGTCAACATACTGTTCATGCATGTTTCGATTTGTGCCTTTTGTCAAAACTTATTTTTGATTAGACAGACAGAAAGTGCTCGTCGAGATGAGCAAATTGAGGGGCGGTGCATCACTAGAGGAGGCCACATGCGCCATGTCACGCCCCAAATCCCATCGAGCACGCGACACACTTAACTGGTCGATTAATGCGATGTCCCAGGGTATCGCCGACCTCACTTATAATTATCAGAGATTTAAAACGATCAATGGAAACCACAAATACCCGGACAATTAGAACTGGGGTAACCAAGGAGAACAAACGTATTCATTCTTCATTCAAACTTATATAATATTCACAATTTACAAACCACCGTATACATATGCACACCATACTATAAACCACCCATATTCAAAACGATCGATGACCTGGGTATTCTATCACCAAAAATGAGACTACTCAAAAAGCCTATTATCAACCCCTAAACCTAACCCTTACGCCCTTTACTTGGCGTCCACTCTGAGTCTGATTCTTCATCGTCTGAATCTGAGTTTCCCTGAACAGTCTGCTCCTCCGAGGACTCCGGCTCGGCATCAATCTCGATCGGGTGGTTTATGTCACCCGACTCCGCTGGAACCGCGTTCCGCTCCTCCGAGTCGGACTCCTCAAAGAACTCGTCCTCTAGCACAAAATCGGGGTCAATCCACTGCTCATACGGGGGAATGTACACTAGTTCTTCTTCTGGCTCGTCCTCAGGTTCAGCAGGTTCATCCTCGGGTTCGGCCTCAAGCCCTTCCTCTTCCGGTTCTTCCTCTGGAATCGGCTCGAGATCCACGTCCATTGGATCATACCCCGCCTGCGACTCATCAGGTTCTGGCTCATGCTCGGCCTCCGAGGGCTCAGGTGCTGCAAGCGCTTGCTGCAATCCAGACTGCGCCAGACTAGTCTCCACACTAGTCAACTCGCCATCAAGAGGAGGTATAGCAGACGGGTCCCAGTCCCCAACTCCATCAAAGGGGACGTCAAATCCGCGGACGGGTCCAAACTCGTCTATTCCGTTTCGGAAGAACCACGCAGTGTATGTATGGGCCTCCCATAGGGGTAATCCTACATCTACCCAGACTACGGTGGTTTGCTTAATCCAGGTCATGAACTCATCTACAGGGTACTCTATAACATCGTGGTTGGTGTGCACCGGTACTCCAAAACGCTCTGGTGGCGGTGGCGGAGGAGGATTCATTGCTCAGGCCGAGGTTCTGAAATGTTTGGTTGAAACAACCATGAGAATATATCTCAGCAAGCACACACCTTAAACCCTACCTAGGCTATCACGTACCTCCAGACAATCATGATAAATAACCACACTCAGCTATTACATCGCAGGCACACAATTAGTACTTACCTAGGCTTTTCTAGCGTGTAACCTGCACGTTAACCATAATAACACCATTCCACTCACATGCATGTTCTAATTACGTTTCATGCATTTATTCCGATCTCATCACATCTTTTCCACACCACTCACCAGTGACCCGCGTAATGGTACCGCCTCAGGTCCAATGCGACCATCTTACACTTGCCTCGCCAGTGGCCTGCGTAATAGTACCGCCTCAGGCTCATTGCGACTAACTCATAACAACACTTCAAGGCCCGCATAATGGTACCGCCTCAGGCCGTGTATCTTGCCCGCATAGTGGTATCGCCTCAGGCTCAACACCCACCACCTACGACGCAACCCGCGTAATAGTACCACCTCAAGTTGGCCGTCCTCCGGTAATACCGGGCATCGTCCCGCGTAGTAGTACCGCCTCAGGACGGATCAATTCCCCGCGTAATGGTACCGCCTCAGGGATTTCCACAATCACACATACCACACCACACTCAATTTCTCGCTCATGCACACACTCAATACCCACTTGCCAATAAATTGGCCAATCACACGTGGCCCGTGCACGCACCAATTCACACACATTCTCATGCTCAATAAACATCCAATATGGCCAATTGATAATTAATTCAATCCGGCCCGAGCGTGCACATAATCAAGCATATTTCAATCAATCAATTGCACACCAATGCACCCAATTTCGTCACTACAATTCAACCACAGTTCAAACGTACAACCAACATATAAATTGGCATTTTTCCATATCAAAACCACAGCAAATCAGTTCCGGCTCTTCACGACATTTTCCCACAATTAGTTGCCGGATCTAAATACCTAATTTACATACCGAACCGCATTTTCCAGCATTCAAACCAGCAATTTCAGCATATACTCGGCCTCTAAATTTCCACAAAAATTCCCCAAATTCATTCATTAGGCCCGCTAATCAATTCCGCCCCTAAAACCATACTAATCCGCATCCAATTAAACCCAATTCCACCTCAAATTTATCCGTTGATACCCGAAGTCGTAAATAAAGTTTAGGGCGTGACTTACCGAACTCTAGACTGACTCGGCTAGAGTGGAAAGGGGCGACAGGCTGGCGGTTCGGTGGTGGCAAGCGGCGACGGCGGCGAGCGGTGATGGCGAGCTGCTCGGCGGCTTGCTGGACGGCGGGCGGCGATCGGCGGCTTCCTTGCCGCTGTTCACGGCCGCGGGGGAGGGAGAGAGAGAGAGAAGGACGGCGGTGATGGCCGACGAGCGGCGGTGGCACGGCCAGGGGAAGGGACGGTCGGTTCGGTGAAGGGGAGAGAGAGTAGGCCGAGAGATGAGAGAGAGAGAGGGGTCTTGGTCTTAAATAGTCAAAACCCAATAATTGAGGGCCAAAATGACCATCTTGCCCTTGTCTCACAAATCAAATCGACGGTCGAGATTCGATCTTATCTTGAGATCGACGGCCGAGATCGAATCTTTCCCAAAAATATCCAAGGGCAATTTAGGAATTTCATAAAATTTCAAGGGCAAAATTGTCCAACTCAAAATTTATGGAAAAATGACCAAAATGCCCTTCCCCTTTAATACTTGCCCTTTATAAATCCCCAAGGGTAAAATGGTCACTTTTCCATTTTCTTGCCAAAATTGAATTTTTCTAAAGGATCCGGGAAAATCCAAAGCTGTACGTTCCAACCACAACGTCGTCCTAACGTCCCGTTGTGACTTCCTAATTTTTCGATGTGTAATTTGGGCTCTAATTAATAATCAAATTTTATTTAACGTAACTCGAGCGTTTCTCAAACTAACAGGAAGCTTTTGGGGAAATTCGCATATTCGACCCGTGACTGATAATAAATCGAGTCACGTGCAAGTTCATTCGGTCCGTGACGACTTCGGTTGTCACTTAATCGCGAGGATCGATCGCTAGATCCGAGGGGCACGATCGTTTGGTATA